ACCCTATGATTCAGACAAAGATGTCACCTCAGTTGGCGGATGCTAAAGTGATAAATTTAATTGATCAAGAGACAGGAGGGACCATCATTTGCTTACTGATATCTTTGAACCAAATGATGTCGTCAGGATCATGAAGATACCAATTTCCCCAGAGGACATGTGGTATTGGTATGTGGACCCCAAAGGTTGTTACTCGGTTAAGAACGACTACAGATGCATTGTTGGAAATTATGAGAATAATATAAACACTGGCTTTACTAAATGGCTCACTTTATGAAAGCTAAAAATTCCACCCAAATGGAAAACCTGGAGAGCTATAAGTGATATCCTCCCCACTACTAACAATCTACTTATTAAAAGGGTAGAAGTTGATCCGATATGTGCTATGTGTGGGGTCACCAATGAGGATGTTATGCATTTATTGGTTTTGTGTGGATATGCACAATCCATTTGGGCATTATCAAACCTTCCACTACCAATATTGTGACGAATATTTTTTATGAATGATTTAGTGCAATATTAAATATTCTAGACACTAATGGGATTATCTACGCAGTTGCAATCCTTTATCATCTATGGAGGGTGCGAAATGGAGCAGTATGGGATGCATGCTTATCACTTCCAAGGAGGGTGCTAGCCATGGTCGCAACCGCCATGCGTACATGGTGTCAAGTCCACGCCAATGCACCGGCCGTAACTCCGCCCACCCCAACGACTACATCCACTGCCCAGCACGGTATGGCAGAACTGCTACCACCGCCTGCTGCCGATGCGAATAAGAATGCACGACAAGCGCTGCAGCCGGGAATGTTGCGTCGCACTGCCCAGCCGAATCTGGAGCAGCTACCACCGTCTCATGGTCCTATGCAACGGCCGAGCAAGTGCTATGTCGACGCCCGCTATCATCATGCAGTGAACTCGGCTAAAGTAGGAGCGGTACTCATGGATGCGGATGGTCAGTTTCTCTCAGCGTACAGTGCTCCCTTACCCCATTGTTTCTCTCCACTTATGGCTGAAGCGTATGCATGTAAGGAGGCCCTATCTTGGTTACGTACGCGTGGAGAATAATCTATTGAGCTTTATACAGATTGTCAGACCCTTTGGAATTATTTGACTTCACCAGGTCCGCCGCCACGATCATACATTGGCTATGCTATTGATGGAAGCAGACACTACATATCTACTTTTGCATTTTGCCGTGTTAATTTTATTCCTAGATCGCAAAATTATTTAGCACATAGTTTAGCTTCTACAGCTTTTGAGTACGATACGACTATGTATTGAGACACTGTCCCACCTGACTCTATTTCAGCTTATCTATAAATACAACCCATTGGTTGACCTTCAAAAAAAAAAAAAAAAAAAAAAAAAACTAGTAATTGTAATGTGTGCGCAATAGGACACATAAAAAAGAACATTTTAACAATATATTTCACACATGTCAACAAATGCAAATGTTTATATCATATATATACTATGCCCATATTAATTTCCAATGTCACAATGGTGGAATAAACCTTCTTTTTCTCAATTCAGTAGATACATTTGTTTCTGTTTTTTGTTGAATCTTTTTTACGGCGGGATAGATAATTTGATAAGTCAATGATTTTTTTTTCGTGTTTCAAAATACGTTAACCAACATGTTAACTAATCGATTACGATAAATTGGATCGAATTTTGTTATTTTTTTTTTTACAGTACCTCGACGTGACATGAGCGTGAAAGGGGTTCAAGAATCAGTTTTCTTTTTGTAAGGGCTAAAATCACTTATTTTGACTTTTTTACCCCATATTGTAGGGTAGATCTCGAAAGATATGAAAGATCTCCCTCCAAGCCGTACATTCAACTTTCATCGAATATTTATCATTCATTAGAAATTGATCGATGAACATGTAACTATACAAAATAAATCTCTTTATTTGAAAGAATATGAATCCATAAGATCCAATTAAAATCGTTAGTGAATCCTACTTAAAATCATTAATATTTATTTATATTTAAGAAAAAAAAGGATTTTTTAATATTTATATATACATTTTCCCATGTTTCATTTGTTAATTTTTAAAAGAGCAAATTTCATTTTTAATCATTAACGATAATTGTAGCATTGTTACATTTAATCTCACTCTTTTAATTTTGTCACATTACATCCTTGATTTTTATATACTTGCCACAATTAGTTCTATGTTTTAAATTTTGTCATTTTATCATTTAATAAAGATGTCTAACATGTAATTTTATCAATCAAATATCTTGTCCCAACATGCAATTTCTCTTCATCTCGTGTAAACTCTTTTAATTGAATGATGAAATTACATATTAACCATATTTATTAAATGGTGAAATAACAAAATTTTAAAATGATGATTAATTGTGGCAACTGACAAGCACGTGAAAGTCAATAATGTAATATTACAAAAGTAAAATAACATGATTAAATGTGACAATACAACAATAGTTGATTGAGGACTAAAACTAATATTTACTTTCTTTTTTGGTTTTTTTTTTTTTTAATTACTAAGTCTCCATATTTTGTATGGAGTGTTTTTTTTTCTCTCTCTCTCATACTTCCTTGTTTATAAAATGAACTCGACATGATAATAATCAATTGTTTTATAATTAACACAGCTTAAGGTCTTGTATAGTTCTTCTCCCAAACATTAATAAGGTCTTGTATTGTGGGAAAAAGACCAAAATAAGATGTTTTTGTAATGCATGGACAATAATATGGCGATTTTAAAAGCTGGACAAAAGTGGAAAAAAGTACTTTGTGACATGCGTTTGGCGTCAGAAACGCATATCCCAAATGCGTTTGATTTTTTTTTTTTTTTAATGTTGACCACATACGCAAGTGTGGTACATTTCATCCTTGCTTCAATTCTGTAGTGTTTGCTCACACTATTGCTATGTTGAACCATTTTTTCTTTTTAATTACTATTTTTTATTTTTTTTTAAATACCCGTGATTCTTTATAAGTTAGTATCTGTTTTATACTTTCTTAAACATTTTCAACCCAAAAAATCTAAATCTGAACCTATACCCAAAGAATCTAAGTCGGAACGTATGACCACCCAGCTACTATTTATCCATTTCTCATTTCCTGTTTTCACATTTCCCATTTCTCAAACGTCAGGACATAATACCAATGTCTTGCATGGTTAAATAAGAATTTTGAAGGCATTGATACTTAAAAAAATGGAATAAGGTCCAAATTGGCCATTGAATGTAACCTGAAAATGTAATTAGGCCACTGAACGAAAAAAAGATGCAATTAGACCACTGAACACCCAAAAACGTGCAATTAGGCCACTGAACACTCTAAATGTATGCAATTTCACCGGATAGCAGGTTACCATCAATTTTAGCAGGTTACCTGCTTACGTGGCGGTTGAGTTGTCATTTTTAATAATTTTTAATAACTTTTAATAATAAATTTCAAAAAAAATTGAAAAAAATAAATAAATAAATTTAAAAAAAATAAATTTGTTTTAAATAATTAAAAAAAAACTTTATTATTAAACTTTATTAAAAATTATTTAAAAATTATTAAAAATGCCAACTCACATGCCACGTAAGCAGGTAACCTGCTATCATGTGAAATTGCATACATTTGGAGTGTTCAGTGGCCTAATTGTATTTTTTTCCGTTCAGTGGCCTAATTGCATTTTCAAGTTACGTTCAGTGGCCAATTTGAACCTTTTTCCTTAAAAAATTTATAACTTGTAATAAGTAAAAATTTTAACGACTATAAATAAAAGGAATAAGGTTCAAATTGACCACTAAACGTAACCTGAAAATACAATTAAGCCATTGAACGAAAAAAAATATAATTAGGCCACTAAACACTCCAAATGTATGCAATTTCATAACAGGTTGCCATCAATTAGTTCTTCTTCTTTTTTTCCTTATAGTCACTACTCACTATCCATGTTAATTTTTCTCTATTTTTTTTTTTTTTTGAAAGGTGTTAATTTTTCTCATTAATTAGTTTAAACTACAAATTTAATACTCTTACAACTTCTGTTCTACAAATTAGTGAAAAAAAAAATTGTTTGATATGTGAGGAAGTTTCTCATTAATATCCTTTATTTTAGACCTTCCTAAAGTTCTATGGCAAATTATATTATGCACCGCGCGTCTTTTTTTTAAAATGAAAATTAACAGTGTTTATTTTCGCCGTTTCGCACCCTTTTGCAAAAAGTAACTCTGTTATTCAGTGTCATTTTGTATACACTGCAGTTTCAGTTGAACACAACTACAGTTTCATTTCGATATAACTATAGTTTCATTCGATATTTATAGACTCAAATATGTGAAAATGTTATTTAATTTTATTTTATATACACCATAGTTTTATTAAAACACAACTACATGATCATTTTGATATAATTACAGCTTCATTGTACAATATACACTCAAATATGTGAAATGTTATTCAGTTTCAGTTTATATACACTGCAGGTTCATTTCACTATAACTACAGTATCATTTTGATATAACTGCAGTGTCGGTTTGGATATACTGTAGTGTCAGTTGGTGTTTAATATACCAAACAAACGGACTCCGTTAACTCTAACGGCGGGCCGTTTCTTTACTTAAAGAAACGGCGCGGTATATGGGCCGCGGTGCATAATCGATTATGCACCGCGGTCTATAATATAACAACTGAAGTTCTATTTATTGGATTTTAAAGTATTGAATCCATTTTTAAAACTTCGGGTCTACAAAAGAAATTCTTGAAATCTATTCTTATTTATAATTAACTTTGTCGGGCTTAACTTAATGGTTCGCAATATTTAAGAGAAGAGATCAAGGTTTGAACTTTGGTCTGGTGGCAGTGTGTAAATTATGTTTAAAGTGGACAGATTCTTGTGGACATCGATATTTGATCTTGTCTGCTGAGTCATTGAGTTACTGTACTCTGTCGGACCCTTAGGTTGAGGATTCAACCTTTTGGGAGAAGTTCAGGCGGGCCGAATTTATGCAAGATTATGAAGGCATTTGAAATGCAATTAGGAGACAAATTTAAAGCACTTAAAAAATTGCAACTACAATAATAATGCATTCTCTATTCTTGAAGAACAGAGCAAAGCTCAATGGAGCCATAATCAAGCAACTCCTCAATCATCTGCTCTATATGGTGATCTTCAAGGGCCTTGAATTCTTGCCCACTCCCTTCCTGGCCCTGACACCCCACCCAATTTTCCACCGTTTCTGCGCCGCTTTGCGCGAGATTATTCGCCGGAGCTCCGTCGCCCCTGCTAACGGCCGGCGGTGGGTATTCTTGTTCCGGCGCCCTGGCTTGAGCCGTGGGTCTTTTGGCGACACTGTGAGACGTCATTTGGCATCTCTGCAGCTTGGCTATCAGATTAGCAGAGAGGAATTTTCTCGAAGAAGACGACGATTGGTGATCGCCGGCATTGTAAGGGAAGTTCGTTCTCGCCATTTGCCCACACATCAGCCTGGCCGCCTCGTCGTACGCCCTCGCTGCGTCCTCCGCAGTCTCGTACGTACCAAGCCATATCCTCGTCTTCCTGTGAACACAAAACGCAAGACATTTCATCAAACACCTTGCCCCCGGTCAAAGCAATCACCATATTTCCAAGAAAAAGAAAGAGAGTTTACAATAAGGGATGGCGAATTTCGGAGACCCAAGATCCCCAATGTCGCTGCCGGACGCCCCGGAATCGTTGTTGAGGTCTAGCCATGGCTGACAGAGATCTTGAAACTCGGCAGTGGTGTTGTAAGTGTTTGTGAAAATGCCTGAGAGAGGGTAATAATAATGGGAGTGTTGGTGAAAATGTATGATGAGCAGAGTATGAGGAGGAAATGGGGGTGAAGAGTTCAGGGGTTTTTGTAAGCATTCTTTACTACTCTCAGCTGGCAATCAATATTGGGAATGGGACCCACTAAAGCCTCTCTCTCTCTACAACTTTCTAATATTTCAAAGCTTTGTTCTTTCCTTTCCCGATTGGAAAAACCATAAAGCAAAGAAAAGAAAAGAAAATAATAATAAAAAGAAGCAAATAATAATGAAGACTAGGCATCATACCTTATTGTAGTTCAACATATATGAATTGCAATTCATACCTAGCGTGTGCCTACAATCAAATACATAGTTGTGAGGTATTATTGTATGTATAGATAGAATCTTGTGCTATTTATATTGCGCAGGTCATCATTTTATTATGCCACTGATAATATATTTTCAGTGTATACATACTACAAAAATTATAATATTATTATAAAATTCTGTTACGTGTGGATCACTGATTTATCATGTGAGTTAATTAATATCTTGAATTATTATTATTATTTTGTTGTGTATGTCTCATATGTTACTAGAAGATGACAGATGCTGTTGGATCATAGTAGAGCGTATCAAGTGCACTGGAGCAGAATGAGCGAAGCGAGTTGTCTATTAATCATGTATGTTTTCTAATCATCACAATTAATAAAGATCTCATTTGCTCCCGTGAACGTGGGCTCTCGGTCGAACCACCTAAACTTTTCTTCTTTTTCATTTTCATTTTCTGTTCTTCATTCTCAACACTTTTTTTTCTAAATTTTGGCCATTGACTTCAAAATTGATGAGATTTAGTACTTAACTTTCGTCAAGCACTTGCCAACCTCAATTGTACCTATGACTTACTTTGATATCAGTTATCAAATCAAGTGCTTACTACTATACCAAAAACTATTGCTAGTAATGTACACCAACATACACGTACTATATCCTTACATTTACATAATAGTCATAAGCACCATGTTTCAGCTAGTAACATGATACCGGACTTGACCATCCAGCCTTTTGCCCAACAAAACCTGGTATTGAATTTGGGTCTCGGGGGACTAAAACCGATAAATTTTGAAAATTACAGTATTAAATTTGATCGATTTTAAAATATATAGTCAAAAGTGCAAAAACGCGATAACTGAAGGACTAAAGTGGTAATTAACCCAATAATGAATCATTGGTTGTTATGTAATATAATCAATCAAGTTGGGTAACAGTGAGATTACATTAGAGCACTACAGTAAATGCCTAATTTATACACATTATCATCAAGGTTTTCAAAGTCTAGGTGGAATGTCCTTTTCGTGAGGTTAAAGCTCCCTAACATAACAAGTTGGAATATAATTTGAAACAAATCAAACACTATAAATAATACTTTATTTTTCGTCCTTTTAAAATGTGATAGATGGAAGACATGTTGGCTACTGGGTGGTGCTTGTGGACAAGATTACATCGGTTAACATCACAATTTAAGATTAAGAAAACATAGGAAAACCTGCCCATAGGACTCAGTTGTAAGGTCAAGATTTCATGACAGATACTTGTAGGGTTTTTTAGGGTTCATAGCTGAAATTTTTGACCGTTATTTTCCATGATAGAGTACGCAATCCCTAGATGGATGTTGACATCAACCCATTTTGGCGTGTTCTCATTTTTTCTTGCTATCAAAGCATGCAATATTCAATAAATTCCTTACTCGTTAATGTGATTTTGTGCAATAGATTGCTTAAAGTGATAAGAGTTGTTGACTTCTGTTGAAAATGTTTCCATTTGATAGATTTTTATGTTGCTTTTGTTAGCTAAATCATAAAAGTTTTAGGGTGAGTGACATGCAGTTTTCATCCTTAAATTATAAAAAAATAATAAATTTCATTCCTTAATTATATTCGTTGTTACTTTTCGTTACTTAATTGTGTGTGAAGTAACTTTAATTTTTTTAGTTGATGATAAGTAATTAGTTCTATTAGAGTTAGGTTTAAAAAGCTACGACTTTGTTTGTCATATTTAGCTAATAAGCTAGCTTAAAGTTGAAAACTTAAAAGTTAGTAGCTACTAGCTATTAGCTTATTTTGAAACACTATAGATAGCTTAAAATAAGTTATTAGATCTACTAAACAAAGTCTATTTAAAGTACCATTTCAAAATAAGATATTATTTTAAGCTTTCATGCATGTTTTACCAAACTAAACTTATAGCTTATTTTGTAACTTAAAATAAGTTATAAGTTCTAAAATAAATTCTACCAAATATATATAGTCTACTTCATACACAATTAAAGAAAAAAAAAAATCACTTCATATACCGTTGAGAGATGAAAAGTGATATTTCTATATTTTAAGGCATGAAAAAGTATCATTTTTCTGATTTTTATAAAAACCTAACAGTTACTTTTAAACTCAAGTTTCGACCAAACCCTATTAAGTAGATCTTTCTCAATATAATGCAGCTAGCTTGTTACTACATTCATAATATTCAAATATGAGACATTGTTTAAAGAGAAACAAACTCCTCCCAATTGAAATAGAGATTGTTGGGGCCGAACTGCTATAAAATTCGTAGTTTTTAGTATTCTTTAAACCTTATTGTATATATATTGACTAAGTGGCCCCAAACTAGGTTAATTTCCTTTAATCTAGACTATCATGTAAATAAAAAAAAAATCCAGTATTTCTGAAATTACCTTAGCTTGATTGTTTTAAATATGATTGTCTATATATGATAATTAAATTAAAGTTGACAATCAGACATTGAATCTAATTAAGTAACGGTAAATTGTTGCAAGTAAGCCAATTGGGTTCACGCGGATTAGGTCGGGCAAGGGTACGTATAGTAGTATGTATGTCCACATGCATGGAGGATGGAGTGCATATATATCCCATCCCACCACTTAAAATGGAGACGACCAAGAATTTTGTGTAGTGTCAAGTTGAGGTCACAATTAAATAATAATATTATTGGTGCATGTTGCGTTGTGTGACAAAGATGCGTTACATCATGGGAAGGGATTTGCCTGTTGGAAGGCGATCGCAAGTTGGGCGATCTCCTGCGCCATCTCCTCATAGGCTACAACTGTCCAGTGTGTCCACACACACATATATATAGACCAAAGATCTAATATGTGAAGGAATTCTCAAGTAAAAAATGGGTGAAATCTCAGTCATTGATCTAGTCAAAATCAACAACTCAGAATGAAAAAAAAAAAGTTTAAAGAAATGCGATGGCATTATGATAATTTTGCATAAGTTCAAAACTTAAGGTGCGTAAGTTTAAATCTTAAGGTGCAGCGTAAGTTTAAATCTTAAGGTGCATAAGTTTATAGCTTAAGGTGCGGTGCGCATGACTTACAGATTTTAGGTGCATAAATTTCAAGCTTATGATGCATCAGTTCAGTACTATGCAGAATTTTGACACTTAAGGTGCATCAGTTCAGAGTTTAAGATGCATCAGTTTGACACTTAAAGTGCATCAAATCGAGACACTTAAGATCATTCACACCCATGTTGTCAAGAAGCATGTTTTTTTTTTTTTTTTTTTTTTTTTTTTATATGGGTTCTGATGCTAACGTATGAATGTGTACTTGTAACACTATTAAGTGCATTTTCTGGAACGTACAAGTGCACTTAAGACCTACAACTCTAAAAGTGCATTTTAGAAAAATTACAAGTGTATTCGATGATGTATAAAGTGCACTCAAGAGATTGCACTTGTATATATCAAATAAACACGTATTACGGAAGAAAAATGCTATTTACCCTTAACATATGTCACTCAAAAACTAGCCACTCCATGATGTGACAAGTTTTAATAGGTTTATTTTTCTTGTTTTTCTTTTTAATTTTAAATCTCAACCAATTAAACATTGTCACATCAACTAGTGACAAATTTGTAAGTGGTAATGTAGGGGTATATAGGGGAATTCATATAATTACCGAAATGTTACAACTTTTTTGCATATCAACAATAAAATTAGTTCTCAATTCTCCTGGGTCATCCTCTCACTTGAGCGCGCCTAGCCTATATATAATAATGTACAATCCAGTTGAGTCACCATGATTTACAACCTCCCACCGTTCTGTCGGGCCGGGGTGTGGGGGACCCTTAGGGTTGGAGTTCAGCCTTTTGGAAGAATAATGTACAATCCAACTATTTACTTAAACATTAATTTTAATTGAGGCAAAACACACCTGAGTTAAATTTTTTTCACCAGATAAATAATAAATGTATGTAGAAATTAATTATTAATTTAAAATTTTAATTAGAATAAAACACATTTTTTAAATAAAACGTCAACCTCTCATCGTACACACAAGTAGCTATCTGGCCGACTCTTGTGCCGCGTCCGCTGTGGATCCCAAGGGGCAGTTAACTGCTAGAAGACCGAACTCTGGAGACTTTTGTGTTTTGTTGCATGTGAAGGTTAGATCACTGTTTGACTAGGTTGCGACAATTATTTTTGTTTTAGGTTCTTTGTATCTATTCTTACCCCAACGGGCATGTTGTGTAATGTGTATTATATCATCACTCATTCACTTGAATGGGAAGATATAATTGCGTGTTAAAATATGTTTCTCCTTTCTTTTTTCTTTTTGATTTCGCTTCACACGTGAGCATGAAATATAGTTATGACTTATGAGTTAGAAATCTTTTATCGTGTAATATCAATAAAATCGTATAAAATTTTGATATTAAATAATAATCAAAAAGTCAATTGTAAGTTAACTCAACATGATAGCTCAAGTGGCAAATGAACTCTCTTTGTGGAGGAGAATTTCAAAATAATTCAAGTTTGATTTTCTATGGACCAGCTCGACCACGTTGTGGTTTACCAAAAAAAAGAAAAAAAAAAAAAAAAGTCAATTGTAAGTTATTTAAAGCTATGCATTTATTCCAAACTCCAAAATGTTCGGAATTCTAGCTCATAGAATTAATATGGTGGAATATGAAGGCTTTAAATTGAAAGTCAAATAATGAAACTTTTAGAACGGGAAAATGACTATTTTTCCCCCGAGTTATATACTTATAGTATTTTTTTTCATTGAATTATTCAAGTGACTGTTTTTCCCCCTGAAATATTAAATGGACATATTTATTCTTAAAATAAATATTTAAAATAAATATTTCATTTATTTTTATTCTCCAACAAATTATTA